TACGGGCACATGGTAAGAAAGTTCGCCTTCAAGAATTCCATGAGGGAGATTTGGTGCTTAAAAGGATTTTGCCTGTTCAGAAGGATTTCCGAGGAAAATGGATGCCCAATTGGGAAGGACCTTATGTTGTCAAGAAAGCCTTTTCTAGAGGAGCTCTAGTCCTAACTGAAATGGACGGATCAGAATTACCATATCCAGTGAATTCCGATGCTGTTAAGAGATATTTCGCTTGAAGAAGAAATAAAAGAGAAAAAAGAAAAAATGAAAAATAATAATAAAAATGAGAAGAAGAAAAAGAAAAAATGAGAAAAAAAGGAAAATGATGGAAAAAACGAAAAGAAAAAAGAAGAAAAAATGGAAAATGAAAAAAGAGAAAAATGAAAAAAAGAAAAAATAAAAGGAGAGTTCAAGATGAAAACCCGAAAAGGGCGTCTTGGAACCAAAGGAGGTCTCAAGTTGAAAACCCGCAAAGGGCGACTTGAGTTGAATTTGAAATTCAGAATTCGCGTATGGTGGAGGTTCTGAATCAATTTTGGAAGTGGAAAGAGCTCCTGATATGGATAGTAACAATGACAGTTGGTGATCAGGGATGAGACTAAAGATTAGTGAGTCTCGATTGAAATAACCAAGAGAATTTGAATGCACATTAGATTCAATACTGGTTTAGGGCATCCAATGATAGAGATTTGGGAGTTTAGAAGTAGCTTCATACTCTTAAGCATCACAATTTTGAAGATCTTTTTGACAGAAGCTACGCTCGAGACATTCTAACGCCGTGCCAGTTCAAAAGCATTTGCATTATTGATATTTGAAGACCCCTACTCTTTTGTTCTTTTGTTGTTTCCAGTTAAAAGTTTGCCATAAAATTACCTAAAAATTCTTTGCATTATATAAATAAAGAGATGTATTTTCTTGTTCGTTTCCCTTTTGTAAGCATCTTATTTTGAAAAGTTAAAACATATAGCTTAACTTGAAGTACATGAGATCATTTTGTATTATTGTGAAAAAGGTTTTGGAAAATGCAGGTATTCTGAAGTTGACAATGGTTTAAACATATAAGCTTGTGTGGCTACGGGAAGCTAAAACTTTGGAGTTCATAGAAAATTTCAGCCATTAAAAAGATGACCCTAAGAGATTGTTGTTTGTCGAGAAGTTGGTCATGGATACTGGCGGGTTTCAAGAAAGAAAGGAGCCAAAGTCATGTTAAGCCGAGAGATATGGAATTGAGATTGTCAACTGGGGTGAACTGGTCAAACGTTCTGTGCCCAAGATGAAGCCGAGTTCCATCAAGATCAAAAGGAGATAGAGTTCCTTCGAAGAAGAAAATGCATCAAATTGCATATTTGCATACATTTAGGCATGAATAGGATCATGGCACTCATAATTGCATGATGACTTAAGCATTTGCAGGTTTCCCAATGATAGTTGAAGATTGAAAATATTGAAGCATCGAGATGAAGATAACTGGTCTTAAGATTTTGACAAGAATGATGTTCATACGAAAATTGAGTCAAAGCATATTCACATATCCAATGGCTTCCAAACAAGTTTTCGCGATGGAGATGGATTTTTAGAAAATTTCTCAAATTCTAAATTTTTGAGTATAATATTTTTCAAACATATATTAATGATTGGTAATGTTTGATTTTCAGGTTTGACCTTCGAAGCAAGTCAATCTTAAGCCTTAACGGAAGAGTAGTGAAGCAAGTCAATCTTAAACCTTCACGGAAGAGTAGTGAAGCAAACTTATTTTATGAAGATCGAGTCTTATATTCTCTGAAGGAATAGGGAGCGGACACGTTTGTTGAAGATCGAGTTCTATACTCTCTGAAGGAATAGAGAGCGGACACATTTTATGAAGATTGTTTGAGTTCTATACTCCCTGAATGAATAGGGAGCGAACCCGTTTGTTGAAGATTGTTCGAGTCCTATACTCTCTGAAGGAATAGGGAGCGAACACGTTTATTGAAGATTGGTTGAGTCTTATACTCCCTGAATGAATAGGGAGCAGACACGTTTGTTGAAGATTGTTTGAGTCTTATACTCCCTGAATGAATAGGGAGCAGACACGTTTTATGAAGATTGTTCGAGTTCTATACTCTCTGAAGGAATAGAGAGAGGACCCGTTGTTCGAGTTCTATACTCTCTGAAGGGATAGAGAGTGGACCCGTTTGTTGAAGATTGTTCGAGTTCTATACTCTCTGAAGGAATAGAGAGCAGACCCATTTTATGAAGATTATTCGAGTTCTATACTCTCTGAAGGAATAGAGAGCGGACCCGTTTTATGAAGATTGTTCGAGTTCTATACTCTTTGAAGGGATAGAGAGCGGACCCGTTTGCCAAGGATTGTTCGAGTCTTATACTCCTTGAAAGAAAAGGGAGCAGACCCGTTATTTGAAGATTTTTCAAGTATCACTTCTCTTGAAGTAACAGTGGAATGGTTTAATCTTTTGAAGTTCTCATGACCGGACAAACTCGATCATCTTTTGATCTTTGCTCTATTCTCGTTACACGACAATGAGCAAAGAGGGGCAGCTGTAGATGCTCGATTTATCCGGGGCTAAGTCGGAGCAGACCCGAAGCAGAGTAGTTGGAGGCCCAATTCAATGACCAATCCTAGTCCACGTGAAATCCTAAAAAACTAAAAAATGGTTATTAGGAGTTAAAAAGCAAAGTGGAGGTGAGGGTCGGTTTTTGGAGGCATTAACCATCCGAAATCATACAGATTGGGGGAAGAGAAATTTTTTTATTTGTTTTTGAAAACAGAGAAGAAACAGAGAGAACACGAAATAAAGGAAAACATTTCAACAAAAAAATATACTAGCTATCAATAATTTTACAAGTGCAAAAGGAGTGCCAAAGGAAACACTATTGTAATCTTACAATTGAAAAACAAATAACGCAATAAAGGTATGTTTTTTCGAGGAATCATTCTTTAATTTCTTTATTTTTCCAGTTCTTTTTTATTGTTTTTTTTAATGTATGTGTGATTGTGGTTTAAAACTAAAATTTGAAAGAGATTAGGACATACCTAGCCTGCCCGAACACCAATGGTGTCTTGTTGATTCCATTCATTATATGTGTTGGTTCTATTGTCAAGGAAAATGTGGGATTTAATTTAGAAAAACCAGAATAAAATAAAAAAAAGAGTGAAAGTGAGAATTTACCTTGGCCGAGCGTCGGGACTACTATCGGGGTTGAAGAGGTGAATGGTTGAGAGATGAGGGAGACTTGGGTTAATTGCGTTTAGGATACGGTTTTGCTTCCCCTTCCGGTTCAGTGATGTTCAAAGGTGCAGAGAGAGGGTACCATTATGTGGTGGCCGACCATGGCTTTCGGCCATGTGAGCGAGAAGAGTCGAGAGTGATAACGGTTGCGGTGGTGTTTAAAGGAGGGTGGAGCGTCGAGTTAGAAACAAGGAAAGTGGAGAGCAAAGCATGAACGGCTGAAGGCATTCATGCGTGCAATTTACTTAGGTTTAGTGTAAAGTTAGGTTTTGTATAATAATATTTTGGTAAATTAACTTTTGGCCACTCAGACTTTATGGTAAATTAGGTTTCAGTCCTCTAAGTTTAGCCTTGTTTTGCATTTCCGTCACTTTTAAAGCCTGTTTTTCGAAATTTAGCATTTTAAATTTGTCATATTTTTGAATTATTTGAGCTACTGTTCATTTGAGTTTTCTTCTAAATTCATTTTAGTCCCTAATCGATTATTTTTCATGTATTTAATTTTGTCCTTTTATTTTGCCTGCATTTAATTTCGGTCCCAAGTAGTATTGTTGTATTTAACTTTTATTGTTTTAGACATTTGAACTCAATTTTTTTATGTTACTTTTTAGTCCTTAAACATTTAGGATTAGTATTTTAGGAAAATTACATAGATACCATTTAATTTGGGTTATTTAGGTGTAGATCCCTTGTTTATGCGTGTTGTTTTATTTAAGTCCTTGGTTTAATTTTCGATTTGCATGTTTAATTTTATGTGTATTTAAATTTAGTCATTATTTTAACTTGAATATATATACTTTTTAAATTTATAGTTTAGCATGTTATGATTTTGTTTTTATATTTAGGTCACATATATATATAATATGTTAATGTGCATAATTTATAATTTTTAATTTTAAAATGTATGTATATAATTTTTTGTATGTCACATTGTATGCTATTTTTTTAATTTTTGTTTAATTAAATTTAGCATGATATTTTTTCACAATTTGCATGATAGCCTCATTTGCATAACTCGACATATTACATAATTAGATTAAGGGTAATACCCTTTTAATTTAAAATTGTTGCAAGTGGGCAGTCATAACTGATTTGAGGTCCGCTTTTAATGATTTTAAAATAAAAGTGTATCCCGAAAGTGAAACTAAAAAATTGATTCGTCACCTAAAATTTGGGAACGAGAGAAAAAGAAATGTTCGTTTATTTAAATATATCGAGAAAAGGTTGTTATATCTTTAAGATCTGGTCTCGATATTTGTAAATAATCGAACATTCTTTATCTTTCTAAAATGACTTGGTAATTTTAATTTAATTTGTTTGAGTGCTGTTGAATGTTTTTAAATTTATATCTTTGTTTTATGGGATCAAAAATCAAATTAAGTTCGAATTTGTAAAGTTCATTGCAAAAACGTTAATTAATCGACTAGGTACCGATTTAGAGCGTTGTGGGGGTGCTAATCATTCCCCACACGTAACCGACTCCCGAACTCGGATTTTGGTAACGCAGACATCAATTTGTTGTTTTAATTAAAATTAATTTTTATTTAAAATGACAAAGCATTTTTGGGTGCCCAATCACACCCTAATCAAAGATTGGTGGCGACTCTTTGAACCGTATTTTTCGATCGTAAAGGAAATCCAAAATGTTTTGAAACGAGAGGTCTTTTAAATCGCATTTGTTTTTAATTAAAAAGAGATAATTAAAAATTAATGTAGTTTTCAAAATCTCACCTTTTTTCACCTTTTAGAAAAAAATCGTTTCGACACCCATGACGAGGATGCTAAACTTATTTCGCAACTTGAAGAAAACCTAATGCACAAGTCTAACAATGTGCCATGGTCATTGCTACCTTTGCCGGCATCAGATAATATGTACTGGTTTTCTCCCAACCAAGCTTCTAATCAAGACATCGGATTTGATATTCGCTTGGGAAGATTACATTCTCTTGGATTTGTTGTATATTATCGCCAAGATTTGAAATTTACCACGGATTTGTCTGAACTCCTTACGGAACCAATGCAATTAGCAAGGCGAGATCAATTGCTTGACCATAAATTTGTCAACATTCTGCATTCACTTCAGGTATTCTTACTATCGGTATTTCAGCTTCAAAAAATTTGTTGATTTATGCAGTAGAATAATAAGATAGTATAATTTGTAAATTTATCCACGAGATTAGCTGAGTCTACTCGTTGCAATTCCTAAAGTTGTTTCAGAGGATATTCCGATCATCCTGCGATAACCAGAGTAAATCTCTGATGTTGAACAGGTGGCACAGTTTTACTTTTGGAAATTGTGGAAATCTCAAGCTTTGACAAACAAAGTTGAATGCGGAAAGGCGGTTCGATTATCACAATCACAATCTGAGAAGATCAGTCAGGTGAATTCTGTTTTTCTGAAGGATACTAAACTGGTGGAGACGGTTTTTCATAGCGCGGATCAATGTTATTTTGATCCAGTCACTTTTTCTGCTTCTATTGCTGCGTGGGAGGACTATTCATGTAAGTTGCATAAAGAAATATTACTGAGCTTGCCTCAATGGAGAGCTCATCAAGCTATATATCGTATCAAATTTGATGTGGCATGATTCTATGGTGATCTTCTGATAAATGCGTCAGCTTATTAGCTATTTGGATTGTTAGATTTTATAGCCAAAACTGTTTTTGTTTTTTTATCAAATTAACTAAACCGATAAATGCTTACCCCTAGTCTTTAGATGCGAGTCAAAATTGACTTTAGTTATATACTTTCGGTTGGTAGAACGCAAAGCTCTTAACCTTGTGGTCGTGGGATCGAATTCCACGGTGGTCAATTCATAATTCTGACTGTCGGAGGTCTTTTTACGGAAGCTGCTCTCAACCTGGCGTTGGGGGCACAACCTACTACCTTACCTCCCCCTCACCCTATTACATATGGGAATAGGGTCAGCTAATTTTCGACATTGTATCCTTCTCGACCACATATCCCATATCCAATACTTACACTCGAGTCAAAGTGGTTCCTCTCTAACCCATAAGTGAAAGGTGGAAACTACACATCTTTCTCCGTTTAGGCACATAAAATACGAGCCGAAAGGAGAAAACTACACCTCTCCCTCCGTTTAGGCACATAAAATTCGAGTCGAAAGGTGAAATCTACATGATGCATCTCTCTTAAGCATTTCATTATCGGACACATATTTCATATCTGATAGTCATATCGAGTATTGGAGTCCAAGTAACATAATCATTCACTCACCCTCCCGCATAGGTGAAAGGTGAAAGCTACATTTCTCTGTTATATTCCCTTCTTTCTTTAAAACAGGTAGTAACGTTATATTGTTTGATAAAGTGGTACTGCTTTTTGTCCCCACATGCTGCATTTGCTGACATATTTTAGCTTTGGCACCGAAATCCCTTTTCTATTTTTCTTTCCAATTTTAAAAAATATATTCATTATTTTTCTATTAAAAGTTAAAAAATATGTTTATGCAAATAAATAAACGTGGATTCGTTGGCAGAACCAGAGGGTATATTATTTTTATCATCAGAACGGAATATAAGTATGTTATCCAAATCCGGATATGTATCTACACGCTACCATGAAAAAACCTTCTTTGGGTAAACTATGCTTTTCCTCCCTCACTTTTGATCATATTCTTATTTTGACCATTAAATTTTTAAAATAAAATTAATTTCATCCTTTAACTTTCGATTTGTTTGAATTTTAGTTATTTAAGTGTTAAATCAGCTTTTGTTGACATGGGATATTTTCTTCTGAAGTAGAATTTTTTTCTTCTTATTTTATTATCTTTCCAACAACTGTAAAACTCTTATAATTTCATTCTCATCACATGCTACTATCGATCTCACAGTTCTCCGTCGTCTTTTTCAACCATTTTAGATGCTGACGAACTTATATTATCGTCTCCTATCACTCTATTATCTTATATTTTCTTAAAATTTATTAAATTTTAGTTCAAAACTCGAAAAAAAATAACTTTAATCTATAATTCTCATCGTTAAACTTGCCTCTTTATCATCAGAATTTGATAATACTTTTTAGAAACACGGGTGTGTAAAATAAGAGAATGGTCTCTGTAAGTGGAAAAGATATATCATTAAAATAAAATAAAGAAATCTGAATTAAGATTAGATTTGGTGCATGCCGGAGTAATAATTTTATTAAAATAAAATATAAAAAAAACTTAGATTTGGTGCATGCTGGAGTAATAAAGTTATTAAAATAAAATATAAAAAAGATTAGATTTGGTGCATGCTTTCTAGTGGATTTTAGCAGTAGAAGGGTCCCCTCTGCTGTATTGAGAACCGAGGAAATTAAACCTTTTCACTTCATTCTGTTTGTTTGAGCGTTTATGTATTGGATTCTGCTGGTCCATCTTCATTGGCCAACTCTATCGATTGTGTTTTCTAAATATTCTTATTTGATATTCATATTTTTTTTATTAATATGAGATAAGTATAAGATAATATCGATTGTATGCGTCTAAAATGTTAAAGAAGAATACTCGTTCTTTGGACATTTTAAATTTTATTTATATTTTCTATTTGAGTTAGTTTTATGAGACTAAGATTTTACAATGTTTTATTATTTTAAAGAGAAACAAAGATATTTATATGGAGTGAGTAAATCTCATATATTCCAAGTCATAAGAGTTTCCTCGTTAAGAAAAAGCTTCAAATATAAATAATACTCTACTCCACATAATGGACTCGACATGCTCCTACTACATTGGGCTGCATTTTCTTTTTAAGCATTTTCCCAGGAAAATTTTCGATTTTCTCAACTCTCCAAATTCATTTGAAACTAAAACATTACGAGATTGAAAAAAAGAAGATGGCTGCGTTTGAGAAATGGTTAAAACTTGGTGGAATCGGTTAAGCATTTGAGAAATGGAAAGAGTCTGAGGTGGAATCGGAGGGAGAGAAGAGAAGGCATTCCAATAAGAGGCTCCGCCATTATGTGGTTGTCACGGGTGATGCCTTTTACGGAATGCTCTTACCGGTGGCTCCGCCGTCATTGCCCTCGCCGCAATTCCATTGTTCGCCGCCGTTCGTTGCTCTGATCTCTTCCGTGAACTCTCTGCTACATAAATGGAAGAAGAAGAAGAAGAAGCAGCGGACATTGGGCATTTCACAGGCCGATCTTCACCTACAGGTTCCATGGGATGTTCAACGGGGCAGAAGAAATCGATGTCGAACTCCACCGCATGTGGCTGCCGGCGCAAGTCCATGTCCATGTCCATTCCACCACCGTCCAGCCCCGGCTGCCCCCTCACAACAACTTGACTTTCCTGAAAACAAAAACAAACATGGATTCAACCATAAATAAAAAAAGAAAGATTCGGGAATTGAAGAAATGCAGATGGAGAAAGGAGAGGAGTTACGAGAAGATGGAGAGATGGAAATTGAGGAGAGAAATAGAAAGGAGTGAAGCTCATGGCACAGATTGTAAAGAGGAAAACTTGAGCTTGTATTAAGTAAGAGAGAGAGAGAGATGAATGGAAAGTAAAGCAGAAGAAAAGGAAGAATCAACACTTGCACACTGAAACACCATCAACGGTCCCTCGCCTCCTACCATAATATATACACACACGAACCTATATAAATACTTCATGTTGAATTTAAGTCAAAGAAAAATCGGATTATAAAATTATTCTAAAACAAAAAATAGCAATATTTTTAATATAATTAGCTTATTTAAGGCAAAAAATACAAGAGATACATGTACTTTAAAAAAAACAATGTGGTTTTCTTATTAATTTCTTAACAAGGTGCTGACATGGTAGCTCACGATGCTGACGTGACGATCCATCTGTCACGTTTGAGTTGCCAATTCAACTCATCTGTCATGTCATCCGCCACAATATCAACCACCGATGACTATTACATTAGCATCGTGGACCACCATGTCAGTACCGTGAACTGTCACGTTAGCATCGTAACGGTCAACAACGAAAAACATTCGTCAAAAAGTCCACATTGAGATTATTTTCTAAGTCGGAGGGTCACATATAGAGAAAACAATACAAGGATCGCATTGAGAGAAAAAAATAATACGAGAAGAATATTAATTTTTTTAAACACAAGGAACTTTGATATTTTTTTTTATCTTTATTCAAAATATTTGTGTAAAGATAAAGATAAAAAAAATTAAAAGAGCAAAAATATATAGATTTACAATAAATCTATCTCCTAAGCATTAGATAAAGAAAGACTTCCTTGATGTGGTTCAAGACCTCCTCCTTCAAGACCATCCATTTTTTGGACCTACCTTTACTTTGAGTAACAAACAAAAAGAAACCTTCCTTGCAAGGAAACTTGATAGAGTTCTCATAAACTCTCATTGGGTCAATTCCTTCAATAAGTCTTTTGTGGAATTTTTAGCTCCTGGACACTTTGATCATTGCATGGCTCTTGCATGGTTGAACAAAGAAGCCCATACCAATAGACTCAAACCTTTCAAGTTCTTTAATTTTTGGTCCAACCATCCTACTTTCCTTGATGAAGTGAGACAATCTTGGCAGCAACCTATTCATGGTAATCCAATGCATGTTCTTTTCCTCAAACTTAAAAGACTTAAGCCTTGTTTACAAGCTTTGAACAAGAATTCCTACAGTAACTTATCTGCTTGAGTCAAGCTAAAGAAAACAGAGCTGGAACAAGTTCAAATATCTACTCTTAAAGGAACCAACCCCCTTGAGAAGGAACTGTCTGTTCATAATGAGCTTGCTGCATTAGAGGAAGCTGAAAAACTGTTTTTAAGGCAAAAATCTAAGGTCAAGTGGCTTAAAGAGGGAGACAGGTGTACTAAATACTTCCACTCAGTTATGCCAACAAAAAACAAAAATGATACCATAAGGGTCCTTATAAATGCTCAAGGTAAAAGGCTGGAATCTTTCGAAGACATGTCTTCAGAAGCCTTAGAATTCTTCCAACAACAATTAGGTACTGTTGATCCTAATTTTTAGCAAACTGACCCTCATTTCTTGAAAAACTTCTTCAATTCAACATGCCTACTGAGTTCTCTTCAGACTTAGTAAAAAATGTTACTAATGAAGAGATCAAAGAAGCTATATTCAGACAAGGAAATGATAAATCTCCTGGCCCAGATGGTTTTACCCCTCTTTTCTTTAAAAGATCTTGGTCAGTAGTTGGAGATGATGTTACCAAAGCAATCAGATTCTTTTTTTGAAGAAGCATTCATCCTGCTTGCTTTTAACTCCACGATTATAACCTTGATTCCTAAGACTCATAATCCTAGTACTATCAAGGATTATAGACCCATTTCATGTTGCTCAGTGGTGTACAAAACCATCTCCAAAATCCTTGTAAAAAGACTGACCACTTTGCTTCCTGCTATTATTACTCCTAACCAATATGCTTTTGTTCGTGGAAGATCTATTACCGACAACACTCTTCTAGCTCAGGAACTTGTTAAAGATTACGGAAGAAAACATATCTCTCCAAGGTGTGCTCTTAAAATTGATCTTCATAAGGCTTTTGATTCTCTCCATTGGGATTTCATCTCTGCTACTCTCAAAGCCATTGGTATTCCTAGTACCTTCTTAAAATGGATAGAGGTTTG